CGATGTTTCTCTCTCATCGATGTTTCTAACTCTCTATTCCTCTCCCTTCCTCTCTGTAAAAAATCAATAAAATATTAAAAAAATAAAAATAAAAAAAAATAAAAAATCTGGGATAGAGTCATAACATGTAAAAATAACATTTTGGCAATCCGATGTTTATAGACCTGCATTATGATCAGAAATTCTCATTTGCCTATATGAAAATTGAATTACCTGTAAAAATGTTTTAAGATCATGCATTCTCCATTTGAATAATAACAGAATACAGATGAGAATCCACGAGTAAACCGAAAAGTAACTAAAGTAGATGGCACAAAGGTCAAGCCCCAAGCCCTTCATTTACTCCTATGTATACTTATTTGATATTTCCATTTACAAATTATAATAAATTCAGTGAAATGTTGTGCTGTCAGACATCAGTAGCTGCCAACCAGAAGGAAGGGAGGCCTCCTTCAAACAGGAATACAAATTCTGCTAGAAATTGTTGATGGCTGACAATCTGCCAATGAAAAGGAAAGTAAAAAACCAAAGCAACACAAGAATTTTTTAAAAAAAGTCATAGCTGATAAATGAGTACCAAGTGCCCTCAGTAGCATCTAAAAAAAAAAAAGTCACTGCATTGTGGAACCTTACAGTAATTTGATAACAACTGTGAAAATGTTTGCCAATCTGTTAAGTGCCCTGCATTCCCCGTCAGAGGAGCCAGGTTCTTATCCTGATTCTGGTACTAAACCAAGTGGACATGGACAGTTTCCTCACCTGAAGACAGCGGAAAGAATCCACACCTACTATGCAGCATTGCTAAGAACCAAGTGAGACACCCCTTGGAATCTCATGCCTTACATGTATGCTACATGTTATATATTTTAAAAGTTTTGATTCTATTTATTTTAATTTTTACTTTTTGAGTTTAAAAGGATATTTTATTCATCAGAAATATTGCCTAGTGGGGTACACTTTTTAGCCCGAGAGTTTCGGATATTTGAGATATCTTAAATATGCACATTTTGCTGTTGACCAAAGTATGACATTTAGGTTCATCAGACATTTTCAGAGGCTCACCTCTAGCTCACTTTCCCTGCTAGCTTAGGCATCAGAATACACCAGCACTGCAGCCTGGACCAGCACCATTCGTTAGCCAGTAGACTTTGGGCAAAGTCCCTTAGCTGAATTTTTTTTTTTTTTTTTTTTTTTTGTTTGTTTTGTTAATCCCCGCCCAAGGATATTTTTCATTGATATTTAGAGAGAGTGGAAGGGAGAGGGAGAGATAGGGAAAAACATCGATGTGAAAGAGACACATTAATTGGTTGCCTCTTGCATGCACCCTGACCAGGGTCAGGGAACGTGCAACCAAGGTACATGCCCTTGACCCAGGATTGAACCTGAGACCCTTCAGTCCTTGGACTGACGCTCTATCCACTGAGCCAAACCAGCTAGGGCCCTTAACTGAATTTTCTTAGAGCCTTTAGGAATAGCTATCTTTTTGTGCTTTGTTTTAATATTTTAGAACAGTTGTTTAAATAATCCCTTATTTCCACAGGACTTTAATTTTTTTAGAGCACTTATATATCATCAGAAATTCACACTACCACCCTGTAAGGTGGATATTCTCTCTTCATATTACTGAAAGAAACGGAAAATATAGACAAATTAAATATCTTGCCAAGTCACACAACTAGTTTGAAATACGATTCCAAGGGAATGATTAAATTGCAATAGCCTTGTGCATACTTTTTAAAATTTTTGCAAAATACTGAGTGCTATTTGGGTACTTCTTATAATCAATATGACAGATATATGTTAATTTACATAAGTAAAAGTAACTGAGAAGTGCAATTTTCCCTGACTCAGACAACGTATATATAATTTTTTTATAAAAAAGCAGGATAGCTGAACATGTTTTTGCCAAGCTACTGTTATTTTAGTATTGACATATTTTGAAGCTAACACCACATGCAACTTTACTTCAATTTTGGTTTGGCTGAAGTATCTTCTTCAAAAGCACAGCAATTTAATCCTTTACATTTTAAAAACCGTATTTGTAACAGAAAATACACAAGTAATGAAAAAGTAAACACTCAGAAGACATCCTTCAAATAAGATGTAAAAATCAAGTAGAATAGTCTGCTAGTTTTTCTTGTCTATACATTTTTTTATGACTCAAGGCTGCTGGTCTCTTCAATGCAATTC